CTAATAACAAAATAATTTTTGGTATTTAGTCTTAGTTAAGGAACAACATTACTGTGCAAAGCCCAATCTATGGACACAAAGATAGGTAAATTTTATAAAGCAAGAGTAATTGAACTAACCTTCCCTACTACCTCTTGTGTATATTGGGCTGTCCAATCAAGGGGTTCGGTATGGATAATTTTATTGTCACAGACATTCGAATCGTCCATCACTATATCACGTGCAAAGGGAACATTTGGCTTTGAGTGTTTTAAAACTTTATCTGAATGGAAGAGGGTTGCTCTTAATCAACTAATTGTACTAATTTGATCCATACCTGCATTTTCGACATTTATAAATAGCAGAAGAAGGCTTAGCCGTGGAAAAGCCTATGTAAAATCTGGAATTAAAATCTTTTCCTATAACATTAATCTAAATTACTTTGCTTAACTACACCAAGGGCAACGTTTCTGATGGCATATTGCCTGTAGATATTTGAATCTTTATCCACTTTCCATTTCATTGTTTCAAACATTTTAAGCTGATGCACAAATCCAATGTTTGGATTAACGCAATATCTTTTAGAAACAACGAATTCAAAAGCATCTTTAAATGATAAGGAACGCTTCATCATTAAGTATCCAATGACTATAGTAGCACTTCGAGAGACGCCAGCAGTACTAATTGTAAAATAAGCGCACACAAACCAATGAACATAGATAGCACCCATCGAGCTAGATTTATCAATAAAATCAAAAGCCTCGTCAAAAATACCAAGCATATCCTGGAACTCTTCGTCCATGACGTTGAAGTACTTTAGAGTAAAGTCAGAAAATATAGACTGGTCCAGAGGTACAGTATCAAGTGTAAGAATAAATTTAACGTTATTTTTAATGAGTATAGGAACATTATCTTTACTAGGATATGTTCCTAGAATAATGTTATCAGTAATAATTGAAAAGGGGCAGTAGACATGATAGAAGGTGAACATCGTATAGTGTGGGAGCTATAGGGAATGATGATTAGCTGATTAAAAAAGACGTAATCTAATTATCTTAGTTATTATGCAAAATATAAGTAAAAAATGTGAAAATTTATTTTTAAAAATCAATACTTATAATTTTAATTATTTTGAATTAGAAGTATACAAGATAGCCTGACCTTGATTAAATAAATCTTCTGGTGGAATCGGTCTTAGAATCTCTTCACCCAACACTTTTACTCGAAATGGAAGTAAGCTCAAAAATACAGGTTTAATCAAGGAGGTGACCCGTGAAGAAAATGCCGAATAGCTGCAAGCATTTGAATCAGAGTCTAGGCGCTCTTCTCGGTAAGGCGGTAATGTACGTGGGAAACAACGGTGGGACTAAAACCGAGTGAAATTCATCAACCAAATTGATCAGAATAGGAAGCCCGAGTCAGACTAACCGATCCAAGGTTAGGGGGGCAAGGTAAACAGCGGGTGTGATGAGGCCACACTAAACTTGTCAACAAATGCACATCTTTTGACGGGTCAGAAGTTGCGACAGGGTGGGAATGGGATAAGAGGGTAAAGATTAGGTAGATGGGACATAACAGAAGAAGAAGTGAAAGGGCAACCGTTTCGGTAGAACGTTGGTCGAGGGTCTGACATGACTTGTTTCTTTGATGAGCTGTAGCTTGGTGCTGAGAATCACAAGACTCCCTGATGATTCTGACTATGATGCTAGCGAAACGTCTGAGAATGTACTAAGTCCACGGTCCGATGCAGGAAATTATGATTACCCCTATGGCAGAGGATTTCGGACAAGGTGCGTTCGACTAAGTCGCCCTGACAAGAAGACCAAGTTGCGAAAACGAGTTCAGCCCACTTCTATAAATCGAAAGAAGACTGTGACTATACCGAGGGCCACACCATCTTAATCTTCATATCTTCTAAAGCCTTAATTATCTCGTTTATCAGAATATTAGTATATTTTGATACTACATCAAAACTTACCAGCAAATTTCCTTTTTCTATCGTCTGATCATCAACTTACTTTATAAAGTCGTAAGAGTTCCTTATCGAAAGCTTCCAAGCTTAGGAGGTTTGCCTCCTCAATTATTTACAAATATCCTAGGTAGGGAATCTTTCTTAAAAATTTTACGCAGGCCATACAGGTTTAGGTTTCTAAAATCTTGCTGGAAAAGTGCGGTTATTTTCCACATTTCCAGTTCTCCGCTGATTAAGCATTGTCGCAGAAAAAGCTTAAGTATGACCTTAAGGACTACTGTCGGATCACTAATTATAGTTTTATATGTTGTTTCATCCTCTTATGACTGTAGAACCTTTTATACTTAATCATTCTTGGCCATAACTACCACTGCTCCTCCTTTAATTGCCCTCAATACTAATTATTCATTCGCCTTAGGCTACATTATTATAATATTAACTGCCATATTTTTAAATGGTTCTTCTATTTGGCCATCAAGTAATGGTACAACTTATAATTATATTTTACTCCTAGTATCCACTGGAAAACTATATGTTAAGTTTATCAAATCAACCATGATTTCATCCCAAAGTCCTCATTATTTGGAAGGGCAATGTTAATACCCTTTGATATGATCTCCTCAGTATAAATGTCAAATAAAGTTTTGGACAGATTTACCCATTTTTGGCAAGAACTTTCATCCCCTTTCACCCTATTAGATATAGATGGCTTCCTTGAACTTATTTTTATACCTAAATTTCTAAATTTCCTATCGTGTTTCTTTCAAAAATACTTGTCATGCAAACTATCGATTATTCTTTGGAGCTTAACGATTTCCTCTGGACTAAGAACACTCTACAAGATTTTCCAGAGTTCAGTCTTAATTCTAATTAATGAGTACATCTTTGCAATAATTTTCCTAAGTCTTATACTAACCAAATCATGGCATACGTCCAACAGGTCAGTCCAAATACTACGAGGTAAATTAGGTCTAGAAATAATACAAAATCAGTGGATAATTCTACGGGAAGGGCAAACTTTCCGAAACGATGTTACTGACTTTCTTGGTTTTTTATTTTATGACGAATTCGGAAAAGAGTGGAAACTCTACGTACTTTGAAGATATGAATTTCTGTTTCAAAGGAAAAATTGGCTAGAAGTAATTCGTATAAAGCCTCATTAAGATCGCAAGGTTAGGTGTACAAAAAGCGACTAGGACTACAGCCGTCTACCTTTTCTCTTGGTTTTGTATATTTTTGCTTCATTTGGATGCCTGTTCTGAGTATCTCTGTCATAGTACAAAAAAAGCTGATCATAGGTTTATTGGGGTCGCAGGACAGTGAATCGATAACTTCTTCGCAAAATACAAAAGGATTCACTATGCGGCAATCCTCATTCTGCTTTAGGTAAGAACACATCACCAATTACTTCAATCCAGCCAAACTGCCGTTTGAAATGAACAGCTATCTCACAA